GTTCCACCTTCCTCAGCACTGAGGAACTATAATTTGTATCCATTTGCTATTTTAAAATTATTTCTCCTGATGAAATAATATGTTAACTGTAGAAATTTTCAAATACAGGGAAAAGGTATTGTTAAAGAAAAGAATTATTCAATGACACTTGTCAAAGCATGGTAAGGTAGACTTTATTAAGGACCACCGTGATAGGCATAGAGACCACTGCAATGAGATTTTACAGTGGGGTAGAGAGCTTGGGCTCAACCCAGAATACAGCATGGGCAAGTGGGAATTTATAGCCAAGGAGCACGGTGGGGGTCAGTGGATGGAAAATTACTAAAAGGAAATATCAGGGGTAAGGGGGGTTCTGGCTAAATGGATTCTAACAGGATTCTTGCTGAGGACAGGCCAGGGTAACCAGACATCACCTGGGGGATGGAGGAAGATAAGGACCCTGGTGATCAGATTATTGCCCGGGGGGCCCTGACGATGACAGCTGGAGCTGGGTCTCGGCCCTGCCCACCACTGTCCACAATCAGATCGACCACTTAGTGGGTACCAAAAGTCACTGAACCAAAAGCCCCCAGGGCCCTGAGATGGGGAAGGAAGGCTTTAGCCCCATCCCTCTTTCCCCCTTCCCCCTCTCCCCCTGCAACAACATTCTAGAGTATACTTATTAGACACGAGTGTTTCTATGGGGTGTGTAACTTATTTGCTCATGTCCTTCACTAAGTTTCTGCTTAGATTTTTCTAATTCTTTTTTTTTTAATTTTTATTGAATCAAAATTTATTATACATATTTTGGGGGTTCAACATTGAGATATGTTGATCAAATCAATGTTACTAGCATGTATATTGTTACAAATCGTAATTATTCTTTATGCCCCTTGTCCGATCTCTCCCCATCCCCCTTTCCCTTCATCCTCCCCCCTCTAATTACCCTAGATTTCTTCTCTCCTGAAAGAATAATGGTTACTCAGTTGATTTGTTGCCGAGATGATCTGTCCAATGCTGAGAGGTGTGATCAGGTCCCCCAGTATTATCATAGAGCAGATGCTTCTGTCACTCTGAAATGGACTTTGTGGAGAGAGACATCCTCTTCTTTTCTTTATCTCTGCTGGTGACTCTCCTTGTGTAAATGCGCTCCAGTGGTTGGCAGACCATCTGTGTGGAGGTTGTGGCATCAGCTATGGTTACTGTGTTGGCTGTGGTGGGCTACCCACATGGAGGTGATGTTTTTGGCATGCTCCTTGGTGCTGGCAGTGTGCCTGGTTGTGGGGAGTGTCTGGCCCCTGGATCCATGCCTGGGGTCTCCTGGTGGGTCCCAAGGTGCTAGTGCAGGGTGCCTGGTTGTGGGAGGGGAATCCTGTCCCTGGCTCCATGCCTCTGGTCGCCTGGTGGGCTCCAAGGCACTGGTGTGGTGTGCCTGGTTGTGAGAGGGGGGTCTGGTCCCCAGATCCATGCCTGAGGTCCCCGGGCAGGCCCTGAGGTGCTGGCATGGTGTGCCTGGTTGTGGGAGGGGGGTCCAGTCCTGGCTCCATGCCTCATGTTCCCTGGCAGGCCCCAAGGCACTAGTGGTGTGCCTGAGCTAGAACTAATTTTTTGTCCTTTGCTTACTTCTAAAATGGGGGAACTTCCTGGGGGAACCAGTACTTGAGCTGTGTGCTTGAGTTAAATTGCTGCTTTCCTGTGGTTTCCCTAGGGAAGGCTTTTTGTGCAGCTCAGAGTTTAATGGTTGACCTTATGGGTACTTCCAGCTCCCCAGAGACCTGGTGGATCTGTGTTGTGTAGAATCTCCGATCTGGGCCCGAGTTTTTTCGTCAAACTGCAGCCCTTGCAGTTCTGCATTCCCGACCAGTGTCCTCTGAGTGGTCCTGTGCTGATTGGGGGGCAGATTGACTGTCCTTGCTGTGTCCCAGTGTTCTCCCAGTGGGCCCATCTCCCCCAGCACCCAGCTCCAAACATTTCCCATGGGACAGGCCCTGCACAGGTCCCTTGCGATGACGCACCGGTCTCTGAATGGCTCCCTTTTTTCAGTTGTTCCGGCTCCTCACTCCTGCGTGGGTCCATGGGAACCCTATTAGTGGTCTTGCTGTCCTGGGGGCCGCCAAGGCCCTCTTCTCCCCTGCCGCCTCCAAGTAACTCCATCTGAAGGGCACAGCTGTGGCTTCTGCCAGCTCCTGCTCCGTGCACTCAGCAGCTCCCGCCTTAAAGCAGTGACAGCCCGAGATGCTCCAAGCAGTTTTTTCTTTCTCTCATCGTGGTTTCTCCTGCCTCCATGAACTCCATAGGTCTCTCCTCCTCTTCCCCTGAGCTCCAGTGGCCCCAGCTTGGCTGATGTTACATTTTTATAGCTATAAATTGGTTGATTTGTGGGAGAGAGTGATGCTGGGGACTGTCTATTCCACCGTCTTGACTGGACCTCCTCTCTAATCCATTTTTAAGAGTTTCTTTTTCATTAAGGATGTTAATCTTTGTGTTAAATTTGTTCTTTATTAATTGATAATAAAATTAATTTTAAAAATTTATAAGCAGATTATCAAGGATGGGGGGTTTCTGCTAAACTGATTTAGTAGAGTTCCTTGCTAAAACTGGATTTGACAAGAAAGTGCATACATGAACCTAAGAGGGCCGGCCTGTGGCTCACTCGGTAGAGTGCGGTGCTGATAACACCAAGGCCACGGGTTCGGATCCCATATAGGGATGGCCGGTTCGCTCACTGGCTGAGTGTGGTGCTGACAACACCAAGTTGAGGGTTAAGATCCCCTTACCGGTCATCTTTAAAAAAAAAAAAAAAATACACGGACCTAAGAAAGGTTCAGGAGCCTAACTAAAGTTTGGCCAAGCAAAAAATCTGTCAGTGTAAAGGGGAAACACTTACCCATAATCCTTCTGTCTAGGGATTAGTGTTTATAACATGTAAATGTTCTTCCTTTGTTATTTTAGTGTGCCTATGGATTTTCTTGAGATATAATTCATATACCTTAAAATCCACCCTTTTAATTGTACAATTCAGTGGTTTTTAGTATATTCACAAGATTATGCAACCATCACCACTAATTTTACATTTCATGACCCCAAAATGAAACTGTACGCATTAGCAGCCATTCTCCATTCCCCACAACCCCTGGCAACCAATAGTCTACTTTATGTGCCAATAGATTTGCCTATTGCGGACATTGCATATAAATAGAATCATACTGTATGTGGCCTTTTGTCTGACTTCTTTCACTTAACATAATATTTTCAAGATTTATTCATCTTGTGGCATATATCAGTATTTCATTCCTTTTGAGGACTGAATAATATTTCATTATGTGTATCTCCCACGTTTTGGTTATCCACTTATGAGTTGATGAACACTTGGGTTATTTCCATTTTTTAGCTATTATGAATAATGCTTCTATGAACATTTGTATACAAGTTTTTGTGTAGACATGTTTTCAGTTATCTTGGGTATATTCCTAGGAGTGGGCTCACTGGGCCATATAGTAATTCTCTTTGTACACACACATACAAATACATCAGATGGAAGGGGTAGAAGAGATGGGAAGGGGATGGTGTAAATTGAAGCCTTGTCAGTGGAATTTTCTCAGTGGACCCTGAGACACTACAATAAAACTCGTTTGTAAAAATGATTGAACTAGTCCAATACTGTAATTTTACAGACCACGGAAAGGGTGCTCTTGATAATGAGAAGTGACTTGTTCAAAGTCACACCGTTAGTGACAGAGTGGGAGAAGGACTCAGATCTGACTCCCATTCACAGAATCTTCCTCTGTTGAATCCAGCCTCTGAGGAATGCCTTTGAAGCATCCCACATTCTTTACGCGTCTAAAATTCCAATATCAAGATCCATCGTTTAAAGCATATTTTTAAAGTAAAATTAATTTTATGGAAAAAAATTTATAGGGATGAAGGGACATGACATAGTGAGTAACTGCGACAGGGTCTTACTGTGAAATGGCAATTTTTCTGTTTGGAAGTTTCTAGGAGGCGCTAACCGAAGGGAAATGCTGATACGGGGAAGCAAGATGAGAAAAACTTTTCAGGTTTTAGTTCTTGGGTGGCTCAGTGAAGCCTAGGGGCAGCTTGTGGGGGTAGGGCCATGTGCAACCCCTCTTGCTGACTTCTTTGCAGTATTTTCTTTCCCTCGCCTGCTCAACAGGCCCTCATGCCCACAAGGCAAGTCCAAACTCCTTAGCCTGGCATGCATTCCGGGAGTTCGCATCTCTCTCCATGCTCCACCCCCTATATCCTGCAGTCCCACTCAAGATCCCAATCTTCCCGGGCTAGACTGAGTGCTCCTCGAAGTCAGGGTTCGTGTGTTACTCACCTTTTTATCCCCAGTACCAAGGGACAGGTCCTGGCACACAGTTGTGGGTCAAAAAGTGTTGGATGAACCCACTGAAATCTCTCGTCTCTAGGCTTTTTGTTGTTGTTGTTGTTGTTGTTTTTAAAGATGACCGGTAAGGGGATCTTAACCCTTGATTTGGTGTTGTCAGCACCACGCTCACCCAGTGAGCTAACCGGCCATCCCTCTATGGGATCCGAACCTGTGGCCTTGGTGTTATCAGCACCACACTCTCCCGAGTGAGCCACCGGCCGGCCCCGTCTCTCGGCTTTTGTATGGGGAAATAACTGTTCCCGAAGGCTGAGTATTCATCCCTGCAAAATCAGGGCAGAGGTACCACCTCCTCTGCCTCCACGGATCCCTCAGGCCACTCTCGATGCTTCCCTAGTTTTCCTTCCTCGTATGTATACCCGGGACTAGCTCGGTGTAAGACCCAAACCTGTTCTCGTCATCAGAGAGGGCCAGTTAGGACTGACGTCCCTTGGCCGCTGAGGGACCGCAGGGAGGAAGGAAGTGGAACGCCCTCAGAACCTCCGAAAATGGACCCGCCACGGAACCCAGTTTCTATGGCAACCATACCGCAAGTTGGCCTGCACAATCGTTCTCTTGGGAGAACCGGACTCTGGTTCCTGTAGGCGTCTCTATGGTTTCAACAGCCTAGAAGGACCAAAGCGGCATTTCCGGGAAGATGGCGGCACCCAAGTCAGATATGGCACATGTTTCCGCGGAGATGATCCCTCAGTGACGGTAAGGAGCTCCCTTCCCCCGAATGGTAACAGTTGGAGCACGGGAGAGCAGGAGAGTAGTTTTACTCAGGTGACACTGCTGTGTGAGGGCTGAAAATTAAACCTCAAGAGGAAAGCATAGGGAGAGGGTAGCCTACTCTTTAGGATCTCTGTAAGATGAGTGGCCCTGGGCCGCTTCTCCTGAAAACTCAGATTGACTGGAAAGGAGACAGTGCCCCAGGTTGTGCTCGCAGCCTCCGCAAAGACTGCGGCGCACGACCTGGGACCTAGTTGATTCTGTCTATAGTTGTCCATTGAAAGTCTGTTAAAGTGATTCTCATGTGGGTCATTCAGTGCAACGAGTAACAACTGAACGCATTCTCGGTTTCTGGCGCTGCTTTAAGTACTCTGGGGTTGGGAAATAAAGCCCATCTCTGACTCCAGTGCCTGTAGTTCGAATTACTGCGACAAGGGATAGGCTGTGGTAAGTCTTATAGCAGAAGATACAAAGAGCTATAAGAGGCTGAAGAGTAGTGATTAAGAACACCAGTTCTGGAGTGCGTGAATACCGATCTTGGATTCACTGCTTGCTAGCTTTTTGATTTGGGCAAAAATCAGTGCCTGTTTCCTCGTTTGTGAATTACGCATAATAACACCTCCTGATAGGGTTGTTGGCAGGATTAAATGAGATAGTCCATGTGAAGCAATTAGCAACAGGCTGGCATTGAGTAAATGTGCAAGAAGTGTTAGACACAATTATCATTATTATCGAAATCTGGAGGTTGACAGATACAGGTGACTTTTGAGAGGGGGCAGTTTTGAGGTGGCCCTAAAGTCCTCAGTGTTTGGATTTTACTTGTCTTACAGTATCAAGAAGCAAGGTAGGGCCGATTCTTCACTCAACAGTTTTCTGTTGGAACTCTTAGCAATCAGTTAAGTTTTCATGTTATCCTATCATTCCTTCTCAGTAGAAATGTGAGCAGAAATGTGAGTCATGCTGAATTTGCTCCTCTTCCTACTTAGAGACTGGTCACTGGTCACCATTCTTTTTGTCTTTTTTTTTTCTTTTTTGATGGTCACCATTCTTAAACCATAACGTTTTGAAAGAGTAACTGTATGGTTGTGTCTGAATTTCTTTAAAGGATACTTACTAGACCTTCTTAAACTCAAATTAAAGTTGTACCCTTCAGAGTTGTCACTTTGGGAGGCTACAAGAGGCTACTAATGGTTCCAGTCGTGCCATTAGTCAGCTTTCGCAATGCTTGTAATAAATGAAATGTCCACAGATCTTAGTATGTTAACTGTAGAGGATCATGTTAACATTGGTAGTCTTTGTTTTGTTTTTTTGTTTGTTTGTTTGTTTGTTTTCCTTTTTGTCTCTTTTTTCCTGTCCAGTAACGGATCGCAACCCTCAGTGTCGCGCCCGTACCGGACTGGGACCCGCAACGGGATCGCAGCCCTCAGTGTTGCACCCGCACCTCGCTCAGCCAGTGAGTGGGAACCGATCTGTATGTGGGATCCGATCCCTCGGCGGGAGCGCCACCGCGCTCCCAAGTGGCGCACTGTAGCAGTGCGCCACCGGGCCGGCCCATGGTAGTCTTAGTTTTGAATGTCTTGTGTATTAAGCCATCTTAACCATTTCAGAGGCAAATTTAGTATATGTATTAGATAATGCCATTCTGGGTCCAAAAGGAGGAATGTTTTAGTTACTGTAAAGAAATGCAACTAATTGGTGCTGTGACAGAAGGAGGATCACTTTGGAGTCAGGCAACTTGGGCTCACATTCCAGCTCCATCTCTTACTAGCTGTGTAACCTTGGACAAGAAACCCAGGCCTTGTTTTCCTCATTTGTAAAATAAGGATAATACCTATCTCACAGGACTGTCAAGATTAAATGAGATAATATGACAATATGTGTAATCCACCTGTTATGTATTAAATACCCAATAAGGGGCTAGCCAGTTAGCTCCCTTGGTGAGAGTGTAGTGTTGATAACACCAAAGTCAAGGGTTCAGATCCCCTTACTGGCCAGCCACCAAAAGAAAAAAAAAAAAAAAGGCTTAACAAGAGTACCCTTCCTAAGCTTGACACTTTCAAAAGGGGAGCTCCAACAAGACTGAAATTCAGCAGCAATGCAGGAGAAGTGTGTAGCCCCCACACCAAATGGACAATGTAAATGCTGAGGCATAGGTGCAGGATATTGGCTCTATTAAGTAGCATTATCTTATAACTCAGGTTAACAAGCACCTCATAGCTTTGTTTTTACAAGGTAATATATTTGGGGAGATGTTATCATGTACCAGTAAAGAGTGCAGACTCTACAGACAAGATGCCTAGGTTTAAATTCTACATATATTAGCTGCGTGACCTTGGGCAAGTTACCTCAACTCTTTAGGCCATAGTTTCCTCATTTGTAAAACAGGGATAATAATACATTCCTGAACAGGCTGGGGAGGGCCGGCCCGGTGGCGCACTCAGTAGAGTGCAGCGCTTGGGAGTGCAGCGGCGCTCCCGCCAAGGGTTCGGATCCCATATAGAGACCAGTCCGCTCACTGGTTGAGCGCGGTGCGGGCGCGACACCGAGGGTTGCGATCCCATTGCCGGTCACAAAAAAAGACGGAAAAAAAAAAAGGCTGGGGAGATTAAATGAAATAATCCATGTAAAGCCTTAGCACACCCTGGCAGGTGGTGAGCTCTCCATAAATTTAGTTATCTGTATTAATACCAGTCCTCCTTGACTTCTTGATATGTTAATGTTGGCCTCTCTGTATCCAGACAAGGACCTCCCGAAAGACCAGGCCTCCTTTCTCTGTCTCTCCCCAAGGCTCAGGAAAGAGAATTCTTATAAGAACAGTCAAGATGGAATTGATAGCTGCCTTGGGCATTTTCTTCTTTCCTCCTAAAAGGTCTCTTCCCTGGTGAGACCCTGAGGACAGACACTCTTTTCTTCACCATGAGTGTCACCCCAGAAGTCAAGAGTCGTGGGATGAAGTTTGCCGAGGAGCAGCTGCTAAAGCATGGATGGACTCAAGGTGATCCTCATGGGGCCTTTCCACACACCCCAACTCTCTGCCTACCCTCTGCCTGGGGGAGAGGCATCATCCTGGACTTCTTTCCCCCATGTAATCCATTCAGTTGAAGGAAGAAAAACTAGTTTAAAGGGAAATTTGCAAAGAAATTTTCTGACTTTTCCAGAAAAGGGAAGAATGGAAGAAATTTGATAGTAGATAATGAGGAAGAAGTGGTTGGGAGGACTGGGGGAAGAATGAAGCAACATGGCCTCTGCCCCTAAGGAATTATGAAGGAAGAGATAGTCCAGGTCCAGACAAAGACAGGGAGACTACATGGAGTGGTACTAGAAGGAGGAGCTGGGAGGACTTCTGAGATGAGCAGAGTATGCCCCAATGCTGAGTGTGTGGAATCCTGCGGGGGGGATGCCTAGTGAGGGCTCAAGGCAGGCAGCGGGATAAGCCAAGTCACTCACTGTCCTCTGCAGGCAAAGGCCTGGGCCGCAAGGAGAATGGCATCACCCAGGCCCTCAGGGTGACGCTGAAGCAGGACACTCATGGGGTAAGACTGAGCAGGCTGAGGGAGGTCAGCGTGGATGGGAGAGGGGGACCCTTGAGGGCAGGCAGGGCAGGTACTCAGAGCTCATACTTACTCCCCTGCCAGGTGGGACATGACCCTGCTAAGGAATTCACAAACCACTGGTGGAATGAGCTCTTCAACAAGACTGCAGCCAACTTGGTAGTGGAAACTGGGCAGGTATGAGCTCTCAAAGATACACACACAAAACATGAGGACCTGGGATGTGTGGGAGTGGGGAGACATGGTATGTCACCCACTCACTGATACTTCCCTACAGGATGGAGTACAGATAAGGCGCCTTTCTAAGGAGACCACCCGTCATAATCATCCTAAGCCCAGCTTGCTGTATCAGAAGTTTGTGAAGGTATTAGAGGCTGGGGGTGACAGAGTCCATCCTTTTTTTCTTCCCTGGTCTCCTCTGGTGCCTGAACAATTACCTTATATGCCCTACCAGTTCTCAGGACTGTCCTAACATAGTGGGATCCTGTGACCACCTGTGATCAACCTTGGTGTTGCTTACTTAGACTGCCCAGACACTCAACCAGAATTGAGATCTTCAGGGTCCACGCATCCCTGCCGTCTGCTGAGGGAGTAGCAATGGGGAGAGGGAGGTAGGGTGCAGTCCCTCAAGTCAGGAGCTGCCAGATTTGGGGGTAGGGAGTGTCTAATTCAAAGGACTTAGAAACCAGAGGAGACCTGAGATTATCTGGTCCATCCTCCTTATTTTGGTGTGGGTTTTTGTTTTTTGTGGCTGGTCAGTACAGGGACCTGAACCTGTGACCTTGGTGTTATAAGGCTGCACTCTAACCAACTGAGCTAACCAGCCAGTTTCCGTCCCCCTTATTTTGCAGATGTTGCCTAAAGGGTGAAATATGTCTTGCTGAAAAGCCCACAGTTGGCTGGTAACAGTAGACAGGATTAGAACCCAGGTTTTTAGACTCCCACTTTCTACTGTACCAATAAAAGGGACCTAAAATTTAATGATCATCTATCATGTGCTAAGGGCTTTACATGTTATCTAGCACATCTTTCCCATTTCTCTACATCTCTGTTGCCATCTACTACCCCAGTTTGGGCCGCCATCATCTCTTGCCTAATTTCTTTAACCACCTCCTCACCTCTAGTGTCACTCCCCTCCCCAGTCAGCCCATCCTCTACAAAGCATTGAGTGTTCTCTCTAAAGCACAAATTTCACCATGTCACTGGCTCCTCTTGGACCTAGAATGACACAGTCCAGATTTATCAAACTGGCTTAGGTGGCACTTCATGCCTTGTCCCTGCCTTCATCTCCAGCCTCATCTCTTGCCAGGACATTGACACTTTAGCCAAATGGAACCTTTTTTTTTTTTCGTTGAGGGCACCATGTTCTTTCACCTTCAGGTTTTTGCACATGCTGTTCCCTCTGCCTGGGAGATTCTTCAACCTTTCTCCCTTTACCTGCTGACTTTTTCTTGTCTTCCAGAGCTCAGCTTATACATCAGTTACTTTTAGAAACCATTACCAAACCCTAAAGTCTGAGTTGAATACCCTTCCTCTAGCACAGGCAACACTTCTGTCATAATTGCCTATGTTCTGCCATATTCCCTTCCCCTCACCACGTAGATTCCATCCGGGCTGGACCCTTCTCATTCTTATACCACTCTGTATCCCCGTCTCCTTGGCCCATAACAGATTCTCAATATGGTTAAATGAAGTTACTGTGAATAAGTACTGTGGTGAGGGGAAGGGGGGCTCCATCTGTATTGTCAGTTACTGGCACTTGTCCCACTGTGAGGACCTGATGAACCAGAGCATTTCCTCTTTCTTGTTCTGCCCAGCAGCAGCTGAGAGCCAGAAAGGCCAAGGCCGCTTTACCTCCCAGCAACTGCAGCTCACCTCCTGCCCAAGTTGAAGTATGCAGGGTGGCATATCTCTATGCCTCTGCAAGGAGCAATGTTGGGGGCTGGTAAATTCCTGCCTAGGGCTATGAGTTCCCGGGGGGGCTTCTATGAGGGAAGAGGGGTGGCAGTGGTGTTGAATAGGTCTCGTCCACCCCCATGATCCCTCCTTCTAGACGGCCACGCTGACTTCAGGTGGAGAGAAGCCAGATAAAGACTTGGAGAGCTGCAGTGATGATGACAACCAGGCAATCAAACCCCCAAAGATGTGAGACTTCTATTTAGCACTGTGGGTATGGGGGAGGAGATGCCCTGAGATCTCAAGAGAAAGGACCTAAGTCCAATGCTTGACTGTAGGCTTCTTGGCGGGGGGGTGGGGGGTGGGTATTTAGAACTATGTTGTACTAATCTTTGTATCTCTAGCACCTCAAAAAGTGCCAGGTCCTGAACAAGAACTGTGTTGAAGGAATGTTTTAGAGGGGAGGACAGGTCAAGCCTTTCCACCAGATCTCTTTTAACTGCTGATCTCCCCCACTAACACAGTCTGACTGATGAGATGCTGCTCCAAGCCTGTGAGGGACGAACAGCACACAAGTAAGTAGTGGTCAGCTCTTTTGGCTCCCTTCTATTCTGCCCCCGCCCTTGACAGTGGCCTGTGCCACCTCGATTCCTTTCAAACTAGGGAAATGATTCCCAGCATCTACCCATCTACTGCCTGAAGATAGGCATCCCTCACACAGACCCCCATCCACCCCCATCAACTTTCCCTGCAGGCCCAAGGATTAAGCCTATTTTTCCTGATACCCTCACTTTGACTTGGACTCTATCTATTCCAGGGCTGCCCGTCTTGGGATCACAATGAAGGCCAAGCTTGCTCGACTAGAGGCCCAGGAGCAGGCCTTCCTGGCTCACCTCAAAGGCCAGGACCCTGGAGCCCCTCAACCACAGTCTGAGAGCCAGCCCCCACAAAAAAAGAAAAAGAAAAGGAAGCAGAAAGAGGAGGAAGAGGTTACAGCAACTGAAAGGAATGCAGATGAGGAGCACCCGGAACACACTGACCAGAGCATCAGGAAAAGCAAGACAAAGAAAAGGCGACATCAAGAAGAAAAGGTCTCAGATGAGAAAGAGGGAACAACTGTAGGGAATGAGGAGGAAGAAGCTGCAAGAACAAGTGGGCTTGGGAAACTGAAGAGCAGAGAGCAAGCCGATCAGTCCCTCAGGAAAAGGAAGAAAAAGAAGAGGCAGCTACATGAAGAGGAGGTGAGAATGGGGGTCCTGGATGGAGAAGGAGGTAAGGAGGCTGCAGGTGGTATCAGGAGAGAGGAGGCAGAGAGCAAAACATACACTGCCCCATGCAGCAGAAGCAAGAAGAGGTGGCAGATTGAGAAGGAGGACCTGAACACAGAGGACAAAGAAGTGGAGGAGACCGTATCAGATAGTGGGACCAGGGAAGCAGAAAGCAGAGCAGGCAGTGACCGAAGAAGCAGGAAAAGCAAGAAAAGATGGCAACGTCAAGAGGAGGAGGTGGTCTTGGATGTAAGGAATGGAGGAGATGAGGAGGATGGCAGGACTAGGGAAGTAGAGAGCGAAGCATGCACTGGCTCTAGCAGCAGAGGTAAGAAGAGGAGGCAGCAGCATCATTCAGAGGAGGAAAGAGCTGGAGTCAACACTGACCACAGAGCCAAAAAGAAGAAACAGAAAAAGAGACATTGAAGGTCTGGTCAAGGTGGGGCTCAATCAGAGCCTTTTCCGTAGATGAAGCCTCAGAGACATGGGTCGATGCAGGTGTTCTGCAGTCCCTTAAATGAGGAATTCCTAAGTTGGAAACAGCTCTGGAACATCAGTCTGCAGAAGAGAGAGCAGTAGTGCCATGCCTTAGTTGAGGGAGTGGGCATAGTCCCCTCTACTGCTTCTAACCCAGAGATCATGAACTCAGGTACCTGTAGGAGCCCAGCAGCTAAGGGACAAAGAATGCTGGGGACTGTGGTAACAAGGATGCAGACACCCTTTGAAGGGGCATCACTGCTAAAAGAAACTGAAAATGCAAACTTTTGGGAAATGTCCTGATTTTTAAATATTGTGAAACCTGAGAAAAACAACATATTTAGGTCTATGGGCTAGATTCAGCCCACAGGTTGCCAGTTTCTAATGCCATACCGAATGTTTAAATAAACATCAGCTTGTGCTCCTAGCAAACAGATAAGTCCTGACTGGCATTTCCATTACTAGCTTGGGAAGGTCCTGAATACAGATTAGATTTTCCTTGGAGGACTTTGAAAAAATCCCTTCTGTTAACCTCCTATAGTTTTGCTATATGGATTAAGTGGAAGTAGCGAAGACGTCATCCAGCTCCCTGTCTGCATCCCACATGGAAAAGAATCACTCATGTGTAAAAGATAGCACACCTCCTGTAGTATCTAACAATTTTCATTGCTTCCAGATGCTGTAGCAGCCTCTCTTGCCTGTTCTGTTTCCCCCGGAGAGACAGCACCACTATTCAGGGTTGTTCTCTGGCTCCCACCACCCACCAACCTTTATTGCCAGAAGAGCTCCCAGGACTCCACAGTTCTGGGAGAGAGAAGCATTAAGTCTTTATTGGGAAGAATGCCCACCCACCTTCCCTTACTGTAGACGATAGACACACTCAGTGCCGGGGTAGGATGGCAGGTTCAGCTGGTATTTCTTTTCCAGAGCAGGTGGTACAAAACGACCCCCCAAGTAATGGTAACGACCGGTAAACTGGGTTGCAGACATTTTGGGTGCCGTCAAGGAGATGAGCAAGTCTGGCTGGATCCCTCCAGAGTTTCCCTTCTCCACATCCCATCCTGAAAAGAAGGTACTATTCACGAAGAGGCCAGATGTCTAGGCCCCCTCTGCACCTTGCTTTACCCCAGTCTTAACGGAGTGGAAAGGCTCCTCAGTTCCCACCTGAGGAACTCTTATCCTAGGAGCTCCATGTACCCTTGGGCTTTAATTTTTTCATAGGGCCAACATGTGAAGGGGGCTTCTGAACTCTTTGCTCCTCAGCCCTAATGTGGGCTCTGGAAAACTGTGTTCTACTCCTCTAGACTCAAACTATTTTAGACTTGGTCTGTCCTGTGGCACAAGAATCAGGACCCCTCAGTACCAGCCTCGAGACAGGGTAGGGCCCCAATCCCCTCCAACCTCTGGGTCCCAGCACCTGAGGGAATGTCAATGCTGGCAATGGGCACAGTGAGTCCATTCAGAACACTCAGGATGCTGTGGAATGGTTCCCGAACATCACCCTTGAAGCTGAAGCCAAAGATGGCATCCACCACCAGCTCATACAACTCATCAATCATTGTGGGCTGTGGTGGAACAGGAAAAGAAAGGATGTCAGAGCCAGCTGGTGCACAATGAGCCTTAACGAGAGAGGGCTGTCTTCTGCATACATGGACCATTCACAGAGGGACAAATATGACTATCTCATTCAGAAGGCATCCTGAGGCCTAGAGCAAACATGAGTTGGTCACTGATCCAGACCAAGCTGAGTCAACACATTTTCTGTTCTGAGTGCCTGCTTGCCACTGGGAAGGCACAGTGTGGGATGGCCTGAGACAGGAAGTCAGGAGGGCCAGATTCTGGTCTCAGCTCTGCCATGATCCGATTCTATGACTTTGAGCAAACCACTTCTCCGCACCTTGATATCTTCATCTGTAAAATGTGTTAAGAAATTTTTTTTAAATCTCAAATTTCTCACCCCTAAATCCATGTATCTGCAGCAACAGTTTAGGATGAGGCAGTCACTCTAGCCCCTGAGAGGGGCAGATCATGTTTACTGCATGCTAGGGAAGAGGACCTGACTGTAGAGTGGAAGAAGTAACCAGGGAAGATGAAGGGGAAAGGAAGCTTTAGAGAAGGTGGTATTGGGGACTCGATGGAGCACATCTTATGGAGGACGAGGAGAAGGCTATTACTCCCCTTCTATTCCAATATCCTTTATGCACCTTCTGGGTCAGGCACCAAATCAATGAGTTTGGCCTGGAAACATGGAGGAAGAACAGAACACAGGCAGATGGGGAGATGGGGTATTGAATTGGGGCTACTTACCTCTGTGGGCATTTCACCAAGGAAAGGGATGTCCATTTTCTGACACTGAGTCACCAGCGCAGTGAAGAGTGACTTGTTAGGCCTTTTAGGATAATAGATGGTTGGCTCGTAGCCCTTGGAGGAAAGGAAAGTGGCAATTCAGCAGCCCCAGACCCCGGAATCCTCACACTCTCCCCACGGCCCCTCCCCACATACTTACAAAGAGCTTGAGGTGTCTAGCACAGACCAAGCCATCTCCTCCATTATTCCCGGGGCCACAGATGACCAGGACAGTAGGGGGGCTCCTGGACATAGACGTGGGGGGGTATGCCTGAAGGTAGAATCAATGCGGTTTCAGAGGAGTTTCAGGCAGTAACATCCGGTTAGCCCAGCTGTCTCTCCCACCCCTTTGTGCCTAGGCCAGGGGGGCTTGGGCAGTAACTCCTCCCCCGCTCCTCCCAAAGGTCGAGAGTTGCGCCACTGACCTTGGCAATGGCTGTGGCACAGCTCAGCCCCGCCAGCTCCATAAGTTGGTCCACGCTGAACTGGTACTCGTTAAATAGCTCCTCGTCCACGGCCTGGGCCTCCTCCTGGCTGAGGGAAACCCTTGGCCTGAGTCCCCGCCCCTCAGGTGCTCCGCCGCGCTGGCGGCGCGACTGTCCCGGGTCCCACCCCCTCGAGGGAGAGCAGTCTACCCAAGTCCCGCGCCCCGCGTGCCTGCCCGACACCTCGCCTACCTCAGGTACTTCACCGCTGTGCTCGCCATGACCTCTGAGTCCCCGCGGCCGCCCGAGCTCAGTCGCTGCGGCCCCCACCAGGTGGGTCCCACGCGGCAGGCGCAGGCCTGGCTTGTGATCCGCAGCAGGCGCGAGCTCGCAACCACCAGCCCGAGCCTCAGCAGCGTCCGCAGCCCAGACATGCAGCTAGTTCAGCGCGCGCGCCCCCGGCCCGGCCCGCCCCAGCCCCGGCGCATGCGCGACGCTCGCCCCGCCCCCGACAAGGCCGGCCGGCACGCGCCAGTCCCGGAAGTGGCCCAAGGCCCGGCGGTGCGAGCTGGACTCCCAGATTTTGGGTTCTTTGCATCACGCCGGCAGGTTCCGAGTACCCTCCCACCCGGGCTTGGGCTCCCATGACCTTCCCTTGCAGCGTGGATCACAGCCTTTCCCGAGAGCATTACAGATTGCCTCAAATGTCCCGATGTCCCGATGTCCCGATGTACCGAATAGCTTTGTTCCCAACCTCCCGTTGGTAAATAATTCATAGTTTTGTAGCTCTTTCGGGAAGCTGTATAGCTTAGCTATATTCATAGCCTGGGTTCTTGCCCCTCCACTTACTAGCTAAGTGAACTTGGGCACTTCTGGTGTCAGTTTCTCGGCTATACAACAGGGTCATACTTCATAAGGGTGTTCATGCAAGCAAAGCCATAGCTTAGCAGAGGGCCTGGTACATAAACAGGGTTTTATATGACTTGAGACCCCTGTCTCCACTACGTTTGCTTCGTTACCTCTGTTTTTGCCAGGATATCACGCTGTGCTTGCCAAATCATACTTATCCCCCTTTACCAGTAGCTATGGAAATAGAAACTTATAGACCTTGAATAGGTTGGGAGATTATGATTAAAATGTAATTGAAACCGTAAGCTCCAGGTCACAATATTTCCTTAGAAACTTTGAGAGTGAGAATAAATTTTACCCAAGCACTTTCGAGAATGCAAAAACTCTGTTGCATGGTTAAGGGGAAAGGTTGGAGAATTACAAATCAGTTGCCATTCAGGCAATAAAATAAAGGTAATTATTCAGATTGTTATGGACCGAATGTTTGTGTCTCACCCAAATTCATATGCTGAAGTCCTGACCTCCAATGTGACGGCTTTTGGAGATAGGGCCTTTGGGAGGTGATTAGGGTTAAGTTGAAGTCATAAGGCTAAGCACTGGTCTGATGGGATTAGTGCCCTTATAAGAGCCCCCTCTCTCTCTCCTTTCATTTCTTCCTTCCCCTCCTTTCTGTCACCAGAACTCCATCATGCTGGCATCCTGATCTCAGACCTCCAGCCCCCAGAACTGTGAGAAAATAAATTTCTGTTGTTCAAGCACCCGGTCTATGGTATTTTGTTTTGACAGCCAAAGCTAAAACATAGGTGAAGTGAAGGTCCTCTTTTTATGTTAGCTTTATTCTTATTCTGTATTGTGAAATGCTTTCCTGGCTGGTTCACTGGGAAAGGTAAGAATCCCTCCTGCTTTTAACTACTCTTCTGATAGTCTCCTTTTTAATTATAAGAGGTTTATCATCTCCAATGGGATGTAACATTGGCCTCCAGCTACGCTTGTTTTACATGTTTGTTGTGGGAAATTGAATTTGTCATACTGTGACTGTGGAGGGAAATTGAGTTTACTCATGTAAATTGTAATGCACACACTAGTGTATATTACAATTAGATGATCTTGTCTAAGACCTCATAAACTTTATTTTCTAACTTCGCTAGCATATAAACGGCTTCACTTTTACATGTTATACAAGACTCCCTACAGGTCTTTTTGAGAAAATTAATTTGGTGATTCTGAAGGTTCATTCTAAAACACAATGTGAGCATATTTCTTTGACATAAATAACATTCTGAGCACTTACATGTATCAGATGATAACATGAATCATCTCATTTCATTTTCACAGCAACCTATTCTTTGCATTTTACAATAAGAAAACTGAGGCCGAAAGAGGTTGAGTGACATGCCTAATGATACAGTTGTAGCTGTTGGGGGAGCTGGGATCCAAGTAGCTTGACCTAAGTCTTCACTCAAGCATTATTCTATACTGAACTGCCTCACTAAATGCAGAAATATGTAAGTAAAGGGTTATCACTGCTGACTTTATCCTGATGAGATATAACTATAAAATAACTATGCAAAGGTATCCCACCACACACTTAAAATTTATAAGACAACCAAATGGGGGCTGTCCCCAGTATCTAGTCTACCTTGTTCCTGCCATTCATACTTTTTGAGTTTTCTTTGGGAAATGCTTTCAAAACCAATTCAGGAAGGGCACATGGACTGAGAACCTGCTGAGTTCCAGATGCTTTACATATATTATCTAATTTAATCCCATCAATCCTGTGATGTATTTTTATCCTCGTGTTATAAATGAGAAAATTGAG